GCAAAACAATTATCCACCATATATTGTTAAATCACTGCAGATACATGCAGCGATTGGTGGTCGTAGACACCAACAAAAAGAAACCTGAACAGGAAACTACTGGTGAATTCATCCCTGCCTCAGCACTAAAGCAACAGACCACAACAGGACTTTATGTTCCTTCATAATGAAATGTGAGTCATCCACACACACACACTGCAGCCACAACATTAAAACCACTGACAGGTGAAATGAAAACATTGACTATCTTGTTACACTGGCACCTGTTAAAGGGTGGGATATATCAGGCAGCGAGTGAACAGTCAGTTTATTAGTGTTGATGTGTAGGAAGAAGGAAAAAAAAAGGGGGCAATGTAGGAATCGGAGTGAGTTTGAGAAGGACCAGACTGGAGGCTGACCTGTGTGGTTTGATCCAACAGAAAAGCTACTGTAGCACAATTTCTAAAAAAAACCAAAATGCCCACAAGAGAAAAAGGTCACAGAACACAGCGCAGCGTGTTGGGCCACCACACAAAACACAACTACAATGTGCACGTGAGCTGTGGAACTGGACCACAGAGCAAAGAAAGAAGGCGGTCCAGTCTGATGAATCACAGCAGGATGTTCTACTAGAACACGGCAGTAGGTGAAGGCAGTGTGATCCTCTTTGGGTTCATGTGGATGTTACTTTGACACACGTGTAGCTGGCTGATCATTCATGGCAGCAGTGTTCCCTGATAGCTTTCCCATCGAGATCATGCTCCCTGCTACACTGCAGACATTGTTGAGGAATGGTTGGAGGAACATGACGGAGAGTTCAAGGTGTTGATTCGGCCTCCAGATTTTAATCCAATTAAGATCTGCTGCTAACGTCTTGGTACCGGATACCACAGCACACCTTCAGAGGTCTGGTGGAGTCATTGCCTTGGCAGGTTAAAGCTGTTTAAGGTGGCACGAGGAGGATCTACATAATATGAAGCAGGTGGTGTTAATATTGCGGTAGATCTGTGCGTGTACAGAAACCTAAAGAGAGTTAGTATGATGTGACATTGAATGATTTATGAGTTCCACCAGGAGTAATCGCTAATCAATAGAAATTCCTGACATGCTATATAGGAAATAAGAACAGCCTGCGCTGTCTTTCATAATGATTCTGAATAATTCAATGATATTGGCAGTGTTCCCTATTATCATTGACCTATACTTGAACCTAAACATGGTGCAGAATGAGGTGTTCTATTTTCTCAGCTCTGTTCAAGCTCCATTAACCACAGGAGAGGTGCTCTGGCTGCCTGCAATAATGCTGAATCTGGAGGGCAGATGAGAAGCTCACACCGGCGCTGAACCGTCGGCACCTCGACTCATCAGCACTCAGACAAATAAGCTGTTCTTGTTCAGCGCCTGCGATGCCGTCTCTTGCTCAGATTTTCACCGCGCACGGCCGCATGAACACACCGAAACACAAGCGTCAACTCCGGACAAAACGCAAATCAATAAACTCCTCCTTTCAAATGCATTAAGCAGCCCTCGCCTTGAGCGGGCCGGCTGCACAGCGAGTCCTAAGTGTTGGAGGTGTTTGTCCCGACAGAGAATCTTCCTTGATTGGTGAGGGCCGGCGGTGTCTCAGCCAGGACAGAGGCTGTGGAGGCATCGGGCAGCTCCTGGAGCTCTGGTAATGAGCCAAAGTAAATACGGAGAAATCATGTAACACGCAGCAGGAACCAGGGGGACACGTCAGGACAATGTGTCACAACTCGCACTGGATCAGCTTGGAGTCCATTTGTATCATTAATCAGTCTATCTGCATGAAGAGGATGGAGCTTGGACTGCAGAGAACAGCTTCTTTGTGGTAAATCATGACTTTTGACTACGTGTTTCATGCTTCACCTCTATCACGAGAAGTAAGAATACAGCGATAAACTGGGGCAAAAGGGAGGCGGAGGAGTGTCTTGAGGGGAGAGGGAGGTGAGGGATTGGGTGAGGGCGTTTACAGAGAGAAGTCAAGTCTCCTGAAGCATCCTCATTAATCAGGAGTTTGTGAGCCGGACAGCAGGAGACCTGGCATGGAGGCGGGTTAATGGAGTTGTGTTTATCTGACCTGCAGTCTCCATCTAACTGTCTCGCTTCCTCACATGTTCGCACAACAAAGACTCGTCCATTTAAAGTGTGTGTGTGTGTGTGTGTGTGCGTGTGTGTGTGTGTGTTTGGCCCAACAGCCTCAAACGAATGCTAATGTGGAGAACCGAGCAATTTGACTAATTCAAATGGGTGGTGTGGCAAAAATGGACAATTTGCTCCTCTCTGATCTCAAAGCAAACATATGGAGCAAAGTTTGGAGGAAACAAAGTTAAAGTTTGGACGAACGGAAATCAAAACGGGAGCCTAAACGGAGGAGTCGAGGGAGAGGGGACGGAGGGAGGAGATTAAAGCAAACGAGATAAAAGGAGGAAGACAAGAGGTGACAGTTCCGACTCCGGAGGCTCCACAGGTCACCTTTTAGCTTTAAAGCTGATCATAAGATAACAATGATCGCCGTGTAAAGGACGGGTATATCTGACTTAAGTTGTATGCACATAAACGTTCATAACCATAGATTCCAGATGTAAATTCAAGGCTAGGCTCTTAAGTTGTGGACTTTAAAACACTTCAGGAAACAAAAAAAAAAAACACTTGAAAATCCCTTTTCATAATTGTCCTACGCCTTTTTGATAAATTGTTTTCATCTGTCGTGTTCTCATGTTATCACTTATATTAACTCATTCGATAACTAGGCTTTTATGCAAAGTGCTTGTGGAGTAATTTAAATTACTGACAATTAGGTTGTTTAACAGGAAGGAGGTGATGATGGAGAACAGTTTTATGCAATAGAGCCCACAGAGCTGCTGGACTATTATTTTTCTTCGACAGAATTATTGTTATTCTCTCTCTCTCTCTCTCCTTTTTTTTTGTCCTTCCTGTCTGCCAATTTTCGCACAGTGGTCCTGTCAGCGGTGCCATGGCAACCACCTTAAGGTCAAGATTGTGATAATTAATTAACAGTTCTGTAAGTGTCGCAAGAAGAAGTGCTTCATGCGTTCTCTGCTACAAAATTTTCCAAATGTCTATTGTTTATTCCAGCTGCTAGGAATGTGTCTATTACATTATTATTACCGTGAAGATCCACTGGAAGCAAAACAAAAAGTATGACATCACCATAGCTCTTCCACTCTTTGTTCATAGCTGTGGGCGGCAGCTTGCTAATTAGCAAACAATGTGTGAATAAGACATCTATGACACTGTCTGACAGTTAACATGACATTTACCAAGAAGGACATTTTTTGTTTCATCATATTAGAAATCTTGCCATCAAGGAAAAGATGCACAAAAGAAAAATTACAGAAACTGCAACAGTAACCTCCTACACACAATGCTATGCAGAGCAGGTAAATAAACTAGATTTCTTGTCCCAGCACTGCACCAATGAACAGGGACGCACTTTACTTATGGATCCACGATAATATCAGCTTCATCATCGCTATCAGGTGACAAAAGTTTTAACCCTCTGAAATCAAAATCTACTGGCACGTTTAAAAGACACGTCTTTTTAAAAAAAAAAAAGAAAGAAAGAAAGAAAGAAAAAAAGACACTATTATTACTGTGTATATATATGCTGTAAAAACAAAAAAAAACTGAATTTGAATTTTGGTTTGTTGGAAAATTGACCAAATCTGAGGCAGAAAGTGTCAAAAATTCTTGAAAAAATAAACTGATAGCAGCAGATTCTGCAAAAACAAAACAGAAAATAAAAGAAAAAAAACTTTGAGCTCCTCAGTGCAAAAGGGAAGCCAAAAGTGACTCAGCTATGACAAGCAGTCATGTGACAACATTTCTGTAACTTTTTGAAATGAACTGGGCTGAACTACAGGCTGTGTTTACATTGTCAATGTTAGTCCCATTTTGCGGTAAAACAATAAGGTGAGTGCTCCCTGCTGTTAGCCATGACGGTGGCGTTTCCACAGAGGGGAAGAGATTTAAATAGCAGTAAAAAATTGTCTCACGGTGGATAACAATGTAAGAGAAGCAAAAAACCCCAAAACAAAACAACCTCAAAAATGAACATTAAAAGATGAACACCTGTCAGTTTCAAAATCCATCCATCCATCATCTATACACCACTTAATCCTCAATGGGGTCGCAGGGGGGCTGGAGTCTATCCCAGCTGACTTAGGGTGAAGGCAGGGGACACCCTGGACAGGTCGCCAGTCTATCACAGGGCTACACTTATAGACAGACAACCAAGCACACGCACATTCACACCTACGGACAATTTAGAATCATCAATTAACCTCAACATGTTTTTGGACTGTGTGGGAGGAAGCAGAGAACCCGGAGAGAACCCACGCTGCACGTGGAGAACATGCGAACTCCACGCAGAAAGATCCCGGATGTCCTCACTAGGACGCGAACTGGTGTCCTTCTTGCTGCGAGGCAAAGGTGCTAACCACAGAGCTACCTTACAGCCTCAGTTTGAAAATGTTACATGAAACTAAATATGTAGTTTTCTGATTTTCGCAGTACATTTGCCCATTTAAAAAACACTGCATTTTGCATCTGCACCTTCCTGTGGGCTATAAGAGTTGGTATAATATGTTAATTCTATCACAGAAGAGACTGAACGTTTGCTACGATTAGGCAGAAAAAACGTGTGAGTATATTAGATTTGTCTAAAATTAGTTGGCATATGGAAGC